ACCCTCTGTATATATGCACCCAACATTGCAGCACTTAAATATATCAACCAAATACAAACAGACCTTAAGGGAGAAATAGATAACAATACAATATTAGGGACTTCAATACCCCACTTTCAACATTGGATAAATCATCCAGAGAGAAAGTAAATAAGAAAATTTGTGACTTAAACTAAGAGCCGTTTTTTTTTTAAATAAAAAAACTGAAAAATCTTTAACTAGACTCAAAAAAAGAAAGAGACTCAAATAAATAAAATCAGAAATGAAAGAGGAGATATTACTACTGATACCAAAAAATACAAAGGAACATAACACACTATTGTGAACAACCGTATGCCAACAAATTGGTTAACCCATAAAAAATAGATAAATTCCTAGACACATACAAACTACCAAGACTGTATCATAAAGAAACAGAAAATCTAAACAGACCAATTAATAGTAAGCAGATTGAAAACAAATTTAAAAATAATAATAATAAAAAATCCTCCCAACAAAGAAAAGCCCAGGACCAGAGATTTCACCAGTGAATTGTAACAAACTTTTAAAGAAGAATTAATGCCTATTCTTCTTAAACTCTCCCAAAAAATTGAAGAGGAGGGGATACTCCCAAACTCATTTTACAAGGTCAGCATTATCCTGATACCAAAACCAGACAAAGACACTACAAGAAAAGAAAACTGTAAGCCAATATACACACAAAACAATAATAATGTGTTTACCATATGTACCACATATTATAATAAAAATAATGATATACCACATTAAAAATATGATATACCACATTAATAGAATGAAGAATAAAAATCATATAATCATCTCAATATATGCAGAAAAAGCATTTAACAAAATACAACATCTCTGCATGATAAAAACTCTCAACAAATTGGTCAAAGTGTATAAAGTTGGAGTTAAAATATGAATAACTTCTGGGCATCTAATATACAACATGGTTACTATAGTTAACAATATTGTGTTAAATACTTGTAAATTGCCTAGAGAGTAAATCTTAAGTGTTCTCACCACACACACACACACACACACACACACACACACACACACACACACACGTAATTATGTGAAGTAACAGAGGTGCTAACACTACCATGGTAAACATTTCGTAATACATAAGTATATCAAATCACCGCATTGTACACCTTAAATTTATACAATGTTATGTGTTGATTATATCTCAATAAAGCTGGGGGGAGGGAGAGAATGGACCAGGTGGAGAGAGTAAGAATTCAATTTCACATAAATAAAAAGACAACAAATTAGAGCCCATAATGTGGAAGAAAAAAAATTAAGTAAAAATACCAGCTTTTGTCTTGCCAAAGGTTCAGGTGCTTTATAAGGCCATCCTTGGGTTTATAAAAATCTTATGTTGGAAAGGGGGACTGAGCATGTGCATATACATGAACATAAAGTATCCAATTTTAGAACTAGGATTCTTAAGAATCATGTAGTCCAACCTTGCCTATTAAAGGAACTGAGGTTTATAGAAGTGAAATGTCCATTGTCACAAAAAATAAAGAAAAAAATCAGAACTAGTTTGAGTTTCTAGAGTTCTCAACTACTATATCAGATTCTTCATTAAGAGATATATACAAGTACATATGCCTAGATGGCAAAAGGATTCTAAGAGAAGACACTAGAGCTAACAGACTTTGCAGTCCATTCCCACTTGAGTTCGCATGTGCACAGACCTATAGGACCCACATGAACACAAAGTGGGTGGGAGACCATTTCTAATATTTAATTTTCTACTATGTTGAATATGGAGGCTGTTCATACAGAAAGAAAAGTTTCTTCCTTTTCCATTTCTTCTTCTAGAATCCAAAACCATATATGTATTCAGGGAAAAGTAAGAAGGCCATTTGCTCAATACCAAATTCTATTTCTAAAAAAAAAATGATGATGACAATCATACCATACTAGGGAATTCATTGTTTTTCCTCTTAATTATCTAAAAGCACTTCTAGAGATGTATTAAAGCCACTCGGGCTTCCAGCTGAATCAGGCATATTTACATTCTTGCAAATTTTAAATCCTCATTTTTTTCAAAATTCCAACTGATATGGCTTAAGCCCTTTAACCCATGCTTAAGATACTGAGTTTGTTTAATAAAAATTAAAAAAAATACAAAAAAGAAGCTGAGCTTTATCTGACAGAGCCTATGAGTTGACACACTTTAGGAAAGCAGCTGAATCCTCAAAAAAGAAATATTCGAGCAATATATATGATTTAATAAATCTATAAACTAAATGACTTTTCATTTCATAAAAATTAAGATACATAATATCTTTAATAAGTGGAGTCACAAGTAAGCAACATAAAATGTAGAAGTAAACAACTTGACTTTTTAAATAAGGAAGGAAAGGCATCTATTCCAAATGAGTACCCCCTAAAAAATGGCAAAGAAGCTTTCTCATACATTTTGAAAGGTGAACACATACATGCCAGGAATAGCACTTCATTTATTTTTATATGGATAAACGTCCCCATAGTAACAAATTCAACCCATGAATTCTTCTTTTAGTTCAGTGTTGTATATTAACAAGTTTAATATTATATTGGCCAGTTTCACTTCTGCCAATGCCAACTGAAAAGCCTGCTAGTGCTATAGAAAGCATACTGTGCGACAAGTGATTTTCCAAGTCAGAATGCCAAAAGGTATCAAATTCAATATTCCAACATTCCTACCTCTAAAATAATTTCTAAGAATCAAATCTGGCTAAAGAAAACTCTCACTTCTATTAAAGAACAAAATCTTGCTAACTGTTTGCCAGAAAGAAAACAAGAAAACAAAACCATAACCATTGACTCTATTCCTTATGCTATACTCCAATCCTGTGACGAGATATATTTATAGTTGATATTCATTATTATTTAGTTTTCCGAAACTAATAAAAAATAAACCATAACCATTTATAATTAATTACTCTTTTTTTACATCTCATTATCATCCATTAACATTCCAATGTCTCCATAAATAAATAAATAAATAAATTAATTAATGCCCTACAGTTATCACTATTCAAAAAACAGCATAGGGAATAGAATCAATGGAATTGTAACAGCTACATAGATGTCAGAGGGATAATAGATTTGGGGAGGTGGGTTATCACTTTGTGAGGGGTGCAATGTCTAACTATTACATTCTTTTGTATACTTGAAACTAATTTAAAAAAACCCAAAAAAAAAACTAGGGGTTGATTTAAATGCAAACGGAACCACAGACCAGGTAACATAAATGAACAAATGAGCCCAGTTAGTACTTTGCTGTCATTAAAAGGGCAGCCGCTTTCAAGCCAAGCTCTAGTCACTTGCTGCAAGGAGGAAATGTAAACTTAAAGATACCAGATCTTCCTGGTTTTCAAAAGAAGTTGGAATTCTGCATTTTGATGCAAAAATTGCCTAATTTTTAAATATTGGCGGTTTTATTTTTAATTTAGCCCCAAAGCACATGCTGGATCCAGAAGCGGGTCTCCAGTTTGCAACCCCTGGTTTACATAGAAATCCCTGTCTTTATAATACGTATCTAAAATATCAGCACAGATCTTGTGTGTTCAGAGAAGCCCCGAGTTGAATGTGATTAGCTGAGATGGAGACAAGACGCGCCACATTCACAGTGAATCATCACTCCCCATCACACGCCCTGGATGGACTTCTATGGATAGCATCACCTTATTTGTGTAGAAGTCTGTCTACCACTACCAGACTGGAAACTTCTTGTAGGCAAGGCCACACCTTACTCATCTTAGTTTCCCCAACACTTGGCATGAAAAGCACAAAATAAATACATTTGAATGAATGAATAAGTAAATGAATAAATAAACACCAATGAATGCAATCTCTGATGTCAATCCCTCTCTAACCTTTTTTTCTCCAATATGGAACTCAGTAAAAAGTTATTTCCAGTGATTCCACTTTTCAAAACTGAGTTGCTCTATAATTGAGTAGAAGAAATGGCTACATATATTATATAATGATTAAGTGAATTTTCAACAGGAGCTCTAAATTTTCATTGCTGAATGAAAGCCAAGAAACAAGTATTTCGAATAAGCATTTCTTCAAGCCAAGAAGCAGTATTTCAAGAAATTGTTGGAGTAAAGCTAAGAAACAAGTATTTCAGATTAATTACCATTGCTTCTGTCATGTGAGACAGAAAAGAAGTCTCAAGTGGATGGCAGGAGTGGTGAAAGTGGAAGGGAGACTCCCTCCTGTGTCTATACAATGATAAACGATCATGTGCTCATTGTAGACAGGTGACTCCCTAGTGTGGCTGTGGCTGTGGGGGTTGTTGTTTTCACTGCACTCCAGGAAGCCCCTTTCTTTTCTACTGGATGCTTCCTTATAGGCAAAGTGGTAAGTGGAGCTTTGGAAGGGGTAGAGGAGTGTCCAGGGGAGTTGGGCGGTAAACACAAAAAGGAAAGTTTATTCCATGCTGTTTCTGTACAAATGGGAATGTTCTCAGCCCAGGTTAGAAGAGGCCTGATTTAGAGTCCCTGTCATTTGTCTGCTAGTCAATATTTTTACTCTTCCTTCCTTTCCATACACACACTGTTCTATATGCTTTGGAGTCTAAACTTTTTCTTCAATACAATCCTTGGAACAAAAATCTATACTCTACCTATGTACATCAATTTATAGTCTTGGCTATAAAAACTATTTCTGTGTAACTTTTAGAGAACAACGCAGTGGGCACTTAAAGCTTAATTATCACCAAACAAGTATGAACCATAAATAAGTTTTCTACCATGTGTGGAGTTTGGCAATGCCAAATATGTGGATTTCATTTAACTACTGCGGAAGGCTTAAATTTTCTAACCCAATACTTGGGACCCATGAGCTGACAACTATGAATAATGTTCCAGAGATGAGGTAAGAGAATGTTTGAAGTGGGAACAGCTTCATGATGCCAAAGTAAGTAGCTGAGGGTACAAAGCAGAGAAGCTTGAGGGCCTGGTTCTGGGCATAAAACATAGAAACATACTTACCAGAAGCGATGGTGGGGTTGTCTGAAGACTTGAACTTCGGGTGTTCCAAACTAGGTCTTCAGTTTGGGGAAGTAAAACTCCTCTCACTGAAGAAAGAACAATATAAAAGAACATTTTTTTAATTGAGACACTATTGTACTTGAGGTTCAGAGACAACTAAAAACCAAGTTCTTCCTTTTCATAGTTTAGATTTTAGCAGAACAGATTGGGGAGTCTTGATTAGAAAATCACTTGCTACTTTATTCAGATATTTTACTTATATTACTGGTAGCAAAATCTGAATTGTAAGACCTCAACATAAAATATTCTTCCCATGATTATATTTAGGACACTTCTATACTATTTCCTTTCCTTCCTCAAGTAGTTTTTATTCTTTTTTAAGATTCCTATGAAGCAGTTGTTTTTATTTTATTTTTTTCATTTTAATAAGAAAGTGGAACTGAAATTCAAACTCATTTGGGTGGTGCTAACAATGGAGAAAATTATGCAAAATGATTTCCTTTTAGGTAGAAAGTACCTTTTAAAAATGAGCTGGGACACCAGAGAGTTTATCACTGTAGCAATACCAAAGGGCAATAAATTTAAGAGAGTAGATTGTATAGTTTAATTCAACAAAAATTTACTGAATCCTTGCTAGTTACCATAGACTTTGATGAAGTTGAGGGTATAAACATTAATAAAGCCAAGTTTCTCCTTGTCAGACAGATAAATACAAATTATGAAATGACATGGGGGCAAAAATACAATGTATGGGAACACAGATAAAGGAGAAATTGCTTTTGCCTGGAGGAGATAAGGAATCAATAAAAGCTAAAAAGAAGGGATTTCCAGGAGAGTAAGATGGTGTACACAACAAAAACAGAAGCAGAATCTCTCATCATTCACCTGCTCTTACTGGCCTGACATAGAGGGATCAATCAAAAACCCTACTTGGTTTGAATATTTTTCAGAACTGTTTTTCAGTTTTGTATATAGTTACCGTGTCTTCTATGGAAAACAAGCACCACGAGATCAAGGATGAACATATCTTTTTTTTTTTTAAAGATTTTTATTGGGGAATTGGGATGGGAACAGCACTGGGGAATTGGGGGAAGAGGAACAGACAAGTTGCTGTCATTTTGTTCTTCAGTCTAGTTGTGGAGGACGTTGCTTCACTGGCCCAAGTTGGTAACATCATTGTGCTCTTCTCGGGCGAGGCAGCTCAGTCGCCGGCTTCTGGACGGCCGCTCACAGCAGCTGCTGGCCACTCACGCTGGCTGCTGGCTACAAACGGTAGCCCATGGCAACCCATTGCCACAGGGGTTGCAGCCTCTGCCGTTGCAGGCGACTCACAGCAGCCCAGCTCCAGGTTGAGCTGTTGTTCAGCATCTTAGCTCTAGAGGGCAGTGTCACTGGCCCTCATATGTGGGATCTGAACTGGGGTCCCCTGGCGTCCCAAGCCAGTTCTTAACCATCGCGCCACTCGGCTGGCCTGAACATATCTTTTGAGATGATAATCAAGCTACCTAGAAAGCTACAGCCATTTAGAAACCTAAACTTGGCTACAAAAAGCAATGGATTTTAGGGACAAAATTCTGATTTATTGAAATGCACACCTAATGAAAGGTCAGAGCACCTTTCCGAAAGCTTTTGTTGAACTTGCTTGGAGATTCTGAGAGGGTTGTTAACCCCATTTTTAGAACACTTCCTAGGAGGTAGCTCCACTCCCACAGGCTGCATGTAAAAGGAAGGCCTTGCTATGCTGTTTGTGGATTCAGTTTCCTAAACAACCTCACTTTGCCTGCAGCATACCTTATTCCTCGTGCTGTTCTTCCACAACTCTGACCTTGTTTGCATCTTCTACTCAGTTTAGGTTTCCATCTCCCCCACGTCATGACCTCTTAGCAATATCTTTCTCTGATATCCATATTCCTAGAAACTTCTACTTATAGGTGGTCCCCTTAAGTCGCTCCCAACTAGTCCATATTAGCCTTTCCAAAAGACTTCAAAAATTTCAGATTATAACAAGCCTCTTCTCTTTTCACTATTTTATTTGACTTACATATTCTAACAAGATTTAGCCAAGAAAAGAGGCACATGAGGAAGTGAGCCCAGGGTACCCACAATGCTCTAAAAGTCAAAGGCTCCCTAGTATTGTAAAGTTGATAGCTTAATACCACTATCATTCACTGAAGAGAGCATTTCTCCACTTTAAAGTCCTACGTAAGGCATACAAAGTCCAGGCCACTTTGTGGCTCTGTCTCAGCACACTGTGACATTAAAGAAACATCAGTACAGCAGCCAAAATAACTGAAAAGCAATTCAAAGTTTTAGCTCAGCCCCTCAAAAAAGATCTTATTTAGGAAGTAAGGAATTATATGTAGTAAAATTTTGTTAAAATTGTTTTTTCTTTTCTCTCCTGCTCCCTTATGTCTATTTCTGTTTAATTATTTACACACACACACACACACACACACACACACACACACACACACACAAGAACACACACACATGAGGCCTAGGTGGTAGCTGCATGAAAAGGTGACTTCTTTCCCTTAAAGATATGTCGGGGTTGGAGGGGCTATAAAAATGCATCGTTTTTTTTGTTTTAGCTGAGCCATCCTGCTACCTGTTGGCAGCTCAGCGGCTGCTCAGCTCGGGCCGGGACTCGAACCACTGTTGCTCAGAGCTCAAACTGTTGAGCAAGCTCTTAACCAACTGAGCCACTCAGCCAGCCCATAAAAAAGCATCATTGTTAGTATTGTCTCTCACTCGTGGATTTTCCTCTTTGGCTGTATGGTAGTTTACCCATGCAGTCACTTCAGTAAAAAACAGTCTGGAAGGGCCGGCCGAGTGGCTCAGTTGGTTAAGAGCTTGCTCAAGGGTTTGAGCTCTGAGCAACAGCGGTTCGAGTCCAGTCCGAGCTGAGTTGCCGCTGAGCTGCCAACAGGTGGCAGGATGGCTCAGCTAAAAAAATAAATAAATAAAAAATAAAAATAAAAACAGTCTGGACATTTTAAAAGTTAAGCTACCGAGTGATGAAACTGGAAAAGCAAACATGAAGTAACAAGTTAGTTAACAGGACGCCATGTCCCTGCTGAGTTAAGCTCTTGCACACTAGTAACCAGGCCCTTAGCAAGCTGTTTAGTCCCAGGTTGACCAGGCCACTCTTTAGCTTCTAAATGCAGAGTAGTCAGCTTCTTCTTGATGATCCCAGATCCCCCTGTTGATTTTGGATCATAACTGGATCTCTATGGCTGTCTGAATTCAAACTTAGTATTGGATTCTCTGGGATTCTGGCCAGCACCCAGTATCGCTTCTTCTTTGACCAAGGGCTTCAATCAACTTTCCCGGATCTACTCTTTCTCTCCTGCTCTCTGGCTTCTAAGTCTTTACCAGCTGACTTGCCTCTAGAGAGCTAATGTCTGGGTTGCCTGGGCAGCACTACAGCTTGCTTCAATTCATGCTTCCAGGTACTACTTCACTTTTTCTTATGCTTGGCTTCCATTTCTCTAAACTATTTCAAAATATCATGGTATGCTCCACAAAGAGTGGCCTTCTGTCCACAGATATTCCAGACAGCCCTTGATTAATCTATTCAAAATAGCTGCATGGCTAAAGCTCCATTCATATCAAGATGGCTCCTATCTCAGGCAGTCTAGAGAATGCTCAGGACTACAAATATTTAGGGAAATTCATTTTCACTACCGCGTACTAGAAAAGCAACTAAAACTATGTAAGGACTTTATGATCGATATCAAACTCACCATTGATAAGCTGAAGGGAGTCAGGATCTGGATTCAAAGAGGAGTTCCCCAGCAAAAAATTCTGATGCAGTGTCTCAGCAATATAATCCCTGAAGTTACCGATGGTATAAACGGCGGTGGGCTTATCATCCAGTTCCACAAGACCATGGTTTTCCACCTTGTTGGAATGAAGGCTGATTAGGTCCCAGCTGGTATTACTGATGGCCTCACCATTGAAGGCAACTGCATAGTGAACATCTATGCCACTATGAATGAAAAGAGAGAACAGGTTAGGCCCTGCTAAGGGAGCACAAAGGAAGGAGGTTGAACCCAGTGTGAACAAATGTTAAACCCAGAGAGACAATCTCAAAAAGCACGGTTCCCATCACCCTTCTCTGCAGACCCTGCCTTTTGCCACCTCCTCCTTCCCCCAGAACAGAGGGCCACAGCTCTGAGAACACGGAAGGACTGTGAAGGAGGCCACAGAGGCAAACTTGCAGAATACCCAAGCTGTCTTCTTCCGCCACATTCTCACCCTTTCTTTCCTCTTCAAAGCCAACTGCTCCACTACACTATTAGCCTGTTTCCTGTTTTCCCTATTAGCATTTCTCCTCCAAAATAACAAAACCTTCTAACTCCACCCAACAATGGGTAATCCTGTCATCTCTCTTTATTATTGTTGTTGAAAGAATTATGTACTCCACAAGGGGGAACAAAGCAATAAAAAGCTTAATTACTATGAACTAAAACATATTTATTGTGGAAGGAAAATATGAAATACTTGTAAATAAAGCAAATTGATAATCTGTGATTTTTAAAAATATCATGCTAGAATATTTTCTAATATGACAGTCATCTAAGCCTCTCAGGAGACATACTTTTGTTTAATAGCCCAGATAACTTAGTCCTATAAAGTTTAATACTAAATTGTAAAAAAACCACTAAGACCTGACTTTTTCTTGGCACAGTAGGAATGATAACTCCAAAGTTTATGAGTTTATTACCCTATAACGCATTAACTAATTTTGCCTCTAACCAAGCAATTCTTTCCCAATTAACAGTATAAATTTCAGTTTTTCAAATGCTCTAGGAACAAGCTCTCATTTTCTTCTGGCTCCCTCGTTAACGAGTTGAATGAAACCTTGACAAGTACTAACAAATAATTTTGGGAATTGGGCTTTTTCACTCTCTCTCTTTCCATGAGCAAACAAAGAGAAGATTTCTTGGACTAAAGCATAGAGTAAAAATAAATAAGTAGGACTAAATGTGTCATTTGATATTTTCTTAAATAGACATTTTGGAAAAATCACATCAGAATATAAATTTTTAAAGTCAAGAGGAACACTCCTTCTAAATTCTAACTCAGGTCTCTGTAACACCTAAAAGCTAACATTCTGTAAGTGCTTACAGTGTGACAGGTATTTCACGTGCTTTACCACATTTAATTTTCATAACAATCTTATGTTTAGTATCTTCAGATTTCTATTGAAGAAACCAAGCTTTAAAGAATTTAAAAGACTTGCCTAAAATTCTACAACATATATGTGGTAGAGTCAAGATTCAAACACAGATGTGCCGGACTTCAACAGCAGCATCTGAACACCTATGCTACACTCTCGGTAGCTTGAATGAAGCTATCATCAGAAAGAAGTCATTATGAAGACAGCTTTGCTCTAGTCATCACTCTGGTTTCCAGCCAGTCTGTGAGATACAGCCACCAGAGGCAATACCCAGCAAGCTACACCAAGACCCTCCGGAGGAAAGGAGAATACCATCTTCCCAAAGATAAACCACTCAAGATAGATGCACGAGGGAGACAATGTTCCACTTTCAGACATTCTGTAGAAGCAAAATGACTCCCAAATCAAAGCATAAAAATAACAATCGCTTCTTCCTCTGAACTTACTTATATATTCTGATCTACTTCTTGATTATAGTCTTTGTTGTTTTCTAAAAAGACTTTGCTTACAGCAACTGACTTTCAGCCTCTCCTTGAATTTCAATCCCCAATGTTCTGCTTCAGACCTGGCACTGAGGGGTACCCAGTGCCTACTAAATGAACAGAAATCTATACTTATCTGAATATAAAAAGGAAACTGCAGCCTAATCAAGGTATTCACATATCTAAAGAAAAAATATCAACATAATGACAATGGTCTTATGAAGTCTAGAAAAAAAGAGAAATTCTCAACTGATTTATGGTATATTTAGTGGAATGCTTCTCAGCAGTGTATTGTGGCTTTCTTGTAAGAGATTTCTAAACCTTAGACAGCTACAACAGGCTAGCACGGCTTGATGACACTGGCCACTACAATCAACAACTTCCTGTTTCCTGATTTCAAGTTTGCAAAGGGAACTTTTGATTATAACTCCCTACAGATTTTCCTACGGGGAAAGAAGGCATGAGCCAGCCAGTGCAATAATTGGTCAGTTGGCAGATATATTTCTTGCTTTAAATAGATCCATTGGCATCCTAGAGAATGCACTGTATTTTGTAGTTTGGTAAGCATGGATTGGTCTTAAGAGACCTCTCCTTCCTGGAAGCATTGGCAGTGCGGGAACTGTCCTAGGCCTCCTCGCCGCAGGTCACACCCTAGACTACAGGGGACACCATGAAGGTGACATCCCTCACCTGCCATTCCAGTAGCCAGGCCTCTTTGATGTTCCTGTCTCATACTGAGTAACTTCAGCAACGTTTTCCTCCCAGGTCTGATAACCTGATAAGCTGCCACCTCCAAAGGGGTGGTTTAGGGCACTGTAAGGCAGTATCTGAGAGTTTTGATACCTGATGCTCTACTAAGTGGTAAGACATCTGCTGGTTGTCTAGAACTTCCCTTAACCCCTTAATTTTTCATGTCAAAATATGTTGACGTGTGGGTAGTTCCTGATCTTTTTTGGTAAAGAAATAAATTCAGTAAAATATGCCAAAATAACCAAACGATGGCCCCAAGGTAGAATTAAACAGTAAGAGGGACACCTACTGGTCAGAACTCACTACACCACATGTGTCCCAAGCATCTAGCACAATGCCTGGTTCCCAGTAGTTCAAGAAATGCTTTTGAAAATAATCAAAACATAAATGATCAGTTTTATTCACTAGTGTGATACACTTGAATTCATCCGAAGAATTTTCAGTCTCTAAATAAGAAAGAGTAATTTTTCACTCTAAAAAGCACGCATATTATCTTCACACATTGTGTCTTGTGAGTAATCATTTTAGGGGCATTGCTTCACAGTCACAGTCCAACTCTGTGAGATTATGATTGCTCCTCCCAAGCTCTGTGGGGTGGACCATGCCTACATCTCCAGAAAGGTGAGCTTTTCCTTGGGGTCTTTGTACCACATATTAACATGTCAACATGGCTCTAAGACAGGAAGCAGTGATGAGGAAAAACGAGAAGAAGAAAAGGCTGTGCCAAGTTAGCACTTGAGTTGGCTTCTGGTCTACGAGAAGACCAGACAAGGAGAGTCAAGCCTTTACTGGGAGCCTGTGATGTGCCTTGCGTGACTTTTAAATATCATATGGAGAAGATCAAGTGAAATGTTCCTGGATCAGAAACTCTATGCAAATCAGGCAGTCTGAGCCAGATTACTGGCTTTACTCTTTATTGGCAAAATAAAATTTGCCTCCCAAATGCTTCCCTCGGACATCTAAAAGTAACACTTCTATTATCATCTACCTTGTCTAGTGAGGATAAATTCATTACAGAAGATAGAAGTCCTCAGAGAGATCCTGCAATTTATTACCTTGTTTTTGTTCTGGAAAGGGAACTCAAAGAAATGCTTGAGGTTATTAGGAAACCATCTATTCTCAGAGCTGAGAACTTGACTGTCACCAGAACACACTGAGTTCTGGCATGGAAAATGGGGCACAAAGATGTCTCAGGATGAGGGACAGAACAAACAAAGCCAAGGGGCCAAGGAAGCACATAAGAAGCAGAATACACACTGGTAGACAAAACATTATCTGACTGAAGAAAGCTGCGCTGGCTCTCCCCACTCCGCAACTCTGAGGAAACCAACCACCATGCATCATCACCTTTTCTCTTCCAAACTAGACCGAAACAGCTGCTATATAGAGGAAAGTTTCTCTGTTTGAAAGCCATTTCCAGAGATTTCAATCATGTGGAGGTGAAATTTACCCTTTCTTATTCTCTCATTTCTAGTGCCCTGGTTGGCTGTTTGACATGTGAAGATTTTAAATAGAAAAAGTAATGCTATCACATCTCATTAAGGTTAACCAAAATAAAGATATTTCAGAGAAACTCAGATAGATATCCCTCCTTCAATAAAACTTCTATTAGGAAGGAGACACATACTTACAAAGCCTGGAGCTGAATGTTTGAAGTGTGTATATCAAGCAGATATACGAATATATTGCTGATTCACTTCAAATGGTTCCTACGAACTTAAAATGTGTGCATCTTGACAGAGGTACAAAGCAAACAGAAAATTTCATGTGCATATAAATGTTTATGTTTCTATAACATGTTGTTATGTTCATAACATTTATAAATGTTTAGAAAGAGTATATATTATATAAATAGACTATTTCTGTGTCACACATTCATTCATAAACAGCTCAGAATAAAAGTATACCAAAAAGTTATAAATAAATTCACCAACTGCATAATACCTGACAATACTGAATGAACAGCTTTGGAAGCTATACCTAGGTTAAATGTTTTACCATAAAATCTAATGGCTTCATATTGAATTGTTGTCTGTGTTCCTAATGAAGACTTATCTCTCAGCAACCGGGTACCATTCTTCTGATCATAGGGTTAACATCAGAATTAGGGTTGTTTTTATATTCTAATCATCCCAAGAGGCTAATAATATAAATGAAAATGAGGAAGTCAGAAAGCCCTTTCCAAATATAAGGTATTACAATGAGGGAACATTACTGTATCTCTAAACATGCCCATTTTTAACCTATGAATATACTTCATAAATTCTATATTCTACTTATCAATCTTTCAAGAAAAAGTGAATTTTAAATAAATTTAGTATCCAAAGGCAAAAAATGACAAGCAACCTTCAGAAGGAGTATTGACTATGCTTTTATACTACATATGCTTCTTCTAAGAAATTTCAGAGAGCAACTGTTTTTACAAATAACCTATTATAGAGATCAGCTTTCTCCCCTTTATTTACCACTTAAAGACAACTGATTGCATTATTGAATGCAGAGCATGCTTGAAAGTGTTTACATTAATGCAAGTTTTTATTTCTATTTTAAATTAAGTGTGACTCAATAGTTAAAAGTACTTGTCAGTTAGCAGTCTATAACAAGTCTGTAAACTATAGCCTGTGAGTTAAATCCAGCCCACTGTCCCTGAGTTAATAATTTTATATTTTTAAATGGATGAAAAAAACCCAAAGAAGAATATTTTGTGACATGCAAAAATTATATGAAATTCTGATTTCAGTGTCCATAAATTAAAATTTGTTAGAACACAGCCATACTCATTTGTTTTCACTGTATTGCCTATATCTACTTTCATCTGATAGTGACAGAGTGGAGTAGCTGCAACAGAGACCATATGGCCTGAAAAATTTAGAAAATTTATGATCTGACCCTTAACAGGAAAAGTGTGTCAACCCCTGATCGGTAAGGAAATAGTTGGAAGTGATAAAAGAATTGAGCCATGTTCCCTTGGACCTAAGTTTATTTTCTAAACTAACTCCTCATTCATTGGATAGTATAGAAAGTTCCAAAAAGTACTCTACCTGCCAGTTTCCTTGGGGGACCTGAAAATAAAAATTCAAAGTGTTAAGCAGAGTTTAAGACAGATATATTTGTAATACCATTCATCAAAGTGCAAGTTCTCAATATTTTTCCTCTGAAATGTTTCCTTAAATGAAAATGCTTACAGAGTATCAGAAGCTGACAAGTTCCTGTAACTGAAGTGAGTAAAGGTGGAGAAGGTGTTCTATTTTAAAATAGTCTTTACTATCTTTAAACTTTTGAAATACTTTTGAAACAATTTATAATGGGTTATCCCTTTATAAATAAACTTTTTTCAGTAGATCAACAGGGGACTCCAGTTAGCAATCACAAAATTTGGAACACTTTTTTGGTAGATACAACGTGTTATGTAGTATTAAAATAAATAAAAAGCAAATCAGGTGGTATACAATAAGGTTTTAAGGGGAGGGAAATGTCAGAACTGACTAACCTATAGGATATTGCATAGCCTTTGATATTTATTTATTTTATGTAACAAACACTTAATAGGACTTCCCATGAGCCAGGAACTATGCTAATAAGCATTTTATAAAAATTAATCCATTTAATCGTCCTTAAGACTTTTTAAGGACCATTAGTATCCCTGTATTACAGGGAAAGAAAGAAATTGAGGAACAAAAATGCCAAATTATCTACCCAAAATATTTCAAATACATTTTTAATAAAGTGAGGGTTAATAGGTGAATTGTCTTTTTTATACAAATGAGAAGTTAAGACTTGGTAATCTACCCAAAATCTTCCAGCCAGAAGCGCCAAAGGCAGGATTTTAACCGAAGCAAGTTGGCTCCACAGGCCACGTTGCCTTTCATGAGCTGCCAAGTAAGAGGGGCCTTCAAAGGCCTCACATTCTCGGGTTCTCATATGAGCCTTAGTCACAACTGGAGGCAGTATTCTGTGAAAAGTACTGAGGTGGAACTAGAGAGGCTGATAATGGTGTCAGCATAGAAGGAGTGTCAATTTACGACGCTTGCCCTCTCCCCTGCACCTATAACGAACTAGCTGAGTATCTTTAGGTAAATTATTTGAATTCCCTGTTCTCTGGTTTCCTTATCAGAAACAATGAGGAGAATAAAAACTATTTCATAGCATGGCTGTTGGGGTTAAATGAGTTAATATAGATATAAAGCCTGGTACATCCTGTACATGTACACTGTACATGCTGTCTAAGTGCTTGCTGTTATTGCTGGTAAACCCAGAAGTTAACAAGAATATGCCAATGTTAAGATGGTCAATTATGCTGTAAAGTCACACAGTGCCCTCACTCATACTTCCCAGCATCCAGCCGCCTGGACACAGTTTTCATCCAAACACTCCAAATCTTCAGAGGATTGAGTCTAGCATGGAGGTTCAGACCAAGCGCTATAAAGTCAGCCACTCTGTTTCAAATTTACAAGCTCTCTGATTCTGGGCTAAAAGTATATCCCTTTAAACCTGTTTGCTCCTCTGTAAAATGAGTAGTAATTATATTTATTCTGAGAGAGTTGAAGTGAGCTCAGGAGGAATGTGAAGTGTCTAATACAAATACTCATTCAAAAAATCTGCACAAGTATTATGCAGTGGGTCTTAAACAGGGGAGAAATGTCTTAAAAAGAGGTTTCTGGGCCAGCCAAGTGGCACATCGGTTAAGAGTTCTATTGGGATGCCAGCTCTGAGCAGCAGAGCCCCGGTTTGGATCCCACATGAGAGCCAGTGATGCTGCACCCTCTACAGCTAAGATGCTGAACAACAGCTCGACCTGGAGCTGGGCTGCCATGAGTCGCCAGCGATGGTAGGCTGCAGCACCTGCTGCAGTGGGCTGCTGTGAGCTACTGTGAGTGGCTGGCAGCCAGCGTTAGCAGCCGGCAGCCAGTGTGAGCTGCCAAGAGCCGCTGTGAGCGGCCGTCCAATGGCCTGCGAGTGACTGCCTCACCCGGGAAGAGCACAATGATAATACCAACATGGGCCAGTGAAGCGACATCCTCCACAAAAGGACAAAAGGACAGCAACTCGTCTGTTCCCCTTCACCAATTCCCCAATGCTGCTCCCCTCCCCCGATTCCCCAATAAAATCTTTTTTAAAAAAGGGGGCGGGGGTCTCTGACTTACTCAGAACTATTATGTTTGAAAAGAAGATGGATGCATCTCCTCCAGAGTGGCCTTACACCAAGCCATGAAGTCACCTCATTGGAACATTGATGAGCTTTAGTGGGACCTTGAGGTCACATCTAACCTGACTTCAGTGCCAAATGAAAGCAGTGTAACATGTCAGCAGCAAGCTGCAAATAAGTATTCCTATGCTTTTACCCTGGCCCGACTACAGGTCTGGTATGTCTCCTTCAATGTATTATTTTGCCTTTTTCTAACTCAGTTTCCTCACCTGAAAAACTAGCATTGGGAATATGAATTTACCAGAAATAGCATTGAATTACAGCATTCAAATCATTTTGAGTCATTGGTGTAAACATAAAATACACAAAAGGATATTCCCTTTGAAATAAGGAATGCTACTGAACACAGGCATTTTTAGAGGGACTCTATTTACCTAAATTCAAGTACACGAATGTCCTTATAGCCCGGTAACCCAGTAAATGCATTTTCAACCTGTTAAAAATAAAAATAAAATTTATAACTATGTAGAAATGTGAAAAAGGACATAGAAAATAATGCTTTTAAGAGTAGAACATAAAGTGCACTGTTATAATAGTTACAACTATTAGAAGCTTGTCCATATACATAGATACACATGGATCCGAAAGTTACTAAGAAAATTATAATAGTTACAATGTTAAAAAATAATTTTTAGGGCCAGCCAAGTGGCGCGATGGTTAAGAACTGGCTTGGGATGCCAGAAGGCTCCAGTTTGGATCCCACATATGAGGGCCAGTGACACTGCCCTCCACAGCTAAGAATCTGAACAACAGCTCAACCTGGAGCTGGGCTGCTGTGAGTCGCCTGCGACAGCGTAGGCTGCAGCCCCTGTGGCAGTGGGTTGCCATGGGCTACCATATGTAGCCAGCAGACAGCGTGAGCGGCCAGCAGCCACAATGAGCGGCCATCCAGAAGCCGGTGACTGATCTGCCTTGCCTGGGAAGAGCGCAATGATGGTGCCAACTTGGGCCAGTGAAGCAACGTCCTCCACAACTAGACTGAAGAACAAAAGGACAGCAACTTGTCTGTTCCCATCCCCCCAATTCCTCAATAAAAATCTTAAAAAAAAAAAAAAAGTTTTTACCATGGTGCTAACACAGTTTTCTTTTTCATTTTGCCTTTTAAGGTTTTAATGTGTTTTAATATTAACTTTTTTCAAATTATAAAAAGCATACTTCTTATTGGCAAACCACTGTTTTTTCTTCCTTATGTGATAAAATGTGGGGGAAAACAAAAAGCATTAGTTTCAAAAGAAGCCGTAATAGCATTTTTAAATGTACTTATTTGGATTAGAAATCTGGCTGCAGCACACACTGTGACAGTCAGGTGTTTGTCTCCTAAAAGTGTCTGGTGGTGTCTTTTTCTTGTTCCTACAATACAAGACAACTGGGAACATAAGTCAGCATTAGAAAGAAATCTGTAGGCTTGGGCTTAGCCCCCAGGAGGGAGGCCTTGTTGACTGGCTGTCACAAAGGAGATTATGACAGGGTGACCAGGTAACTTAACCGGTCAAAAGATGAATTTATGAGCATCACATTTGCAGGAACTAGATTATTACTGAGTCTTTAAAATGCAGCCATGTAAATCAATTTGAGCTTAGTGATTGGAGCGGGTGAAAAAGAACACTAGACTACACTAAATATCTAAAAATCATCAGGTTATGCACAAATATCTGATGATTGTGCCCAAATATCAAATGTTTAACAAAACTGAATATTAAACCCACAACATCTCAGAAGGTACATCTCAGTAGATAAGTCACTGTGGGGTCAACGCCAGAACAAGGAAAGTAAGTTGTTAGTGGACTTTGGGAACTCTGTTAGTGGATCTCAGGGTACCTGCTTTTAAAACCAAGTCCTCATATAATCAGGAGAGTGAGATTATTTTTAAAATCTTGGTTCACTTAAGATCTTCTTGCCTTAAGGATAAAAAATCCAAACCCATGAAAGCCATGAATGGCTATAATAACCTTCCTTGTTTTATCCTCTGAGAAGAAAGAAGTGCCTACAATTCTTGGAGGATGGGGATAGGGATGGGATCCACAGGACTAGGGATCCCAAAACTGAGGGTTAAAGTTCCAGCTGCTTTTGCCAGACAAGTCTTTTAAGAACTAACACTGCCCTGCCCACCTCCCACAGCAGTTTTCATAAGATTGAAATGAATGTAGCTGAAAGTACTCCATTAAATAAATACTCCATTAACTGCAAAATACTATGTAATGGCAAGTTATTGTTATTACTAAACCTATCTCATTAGGAGCTTTGCCATCTCTTGAATCTAAACACATATAGGTATTCTAATTCATCACATCCAGTTGTAAGAAGTCATTCTATTTTATTAACATCAAAAATAATAATAGGTATAATTTATTGAGTGACTGCTATGTGCCTGATAATATTACTTCTAATCCTTGCAACAATCCTAAGAGATACATGTTTTCCCAATTTTTATAGATGAGAAAACTGAGACTCTGAGATGTCAACTAACTTATCCAAGGTCATGCATTTGCTGAGTGACTGAATCAGAATTTATTCAACCCCAAATCTCTCTAAGGCTGAATCCCATATTCTTCCCATTAAGTTATATGACTCGTCCTCTTTCCCGACTCATAATAAATATGGTTTCGAAATGCGATCAGGACTGGGAAAGCGGTGAAGCTCACTACAGCTTCTTACCTGAATTAAAATGAATGGGATTCTGTATGATACAAAGGAAGGAACACTTTGAAAGGAAAGAAGAGACCTGATTTTCCCTTCTACTCCTAGGGGCTGAAATGGCCATGAACAAGTTACTTGCCCTCCTGGGCCTCATCTGTCAAGTGGAGATGCTTACCCACATGGCTGCTGTTAGCAAACAGACATACAGCAGCCTGCAGAACACACAAGTAAAGCACTAGGCAAGCACACAATGTTGGTACTGTGTCTGTCTTCAGGGACTGACACTCCCAAGCCTGACCTTTCCCTCTCTGATGTCATACTTGGTAGTGTCCCAAGCTTATCTTATTCTCACACTTCTCCTCATTGAAAAAACAAAAAAGAGTAATATCTTCTGATCCTCAACCCCCAAGCAGGCTTTCTTTTTCCCTGTGTGTCTTCCAACATTACCTAAGAAATAATATTGAAGAAACCATCCCTGTGACTGCGTCCTGAAGGGGAGAGAGCTAGAGGGTACCCCTTCAATTTGCAGTAAACATGGTGACAGGGCCTTTCAGAGATAGGATGCCAGACTCTGCAGCTCCACACAAGGATGGTCCCCATGTGGCTACTGGTAGACATTTTGTCCAGGCAACGGGACAGGGATGTAGAGACAGGCCAGAGAAGGAAGTGTTTCACAGTAGGCCCAGACACTTCATTACCTTCAAATCACCTCAAGCCAGTAGCTACCTACCTCATAAAATCCCTGCTGGAAATGTTTTTCAGCGTGTTTATTAGACCTTCTCTAAATATGGAATCATTCAGTACAATTGTTTACCCAAACACTGAGGCTTATTAAAGGTTCCTTAATCCAAAGGCAGAGAGACCCAGACAGCTGATCCAAGACACTATCTGATGCCAGGTGGCCACTGGCCTGGTTGACATTTCTTCCACATACCATACAGCCTCGCGACTTGGCCACACAGCTAGGAAAATTAATCGTCTGTCCTACCTTCCCCTTGTCTGACGGCTGCAATGATGCTGTTTGGCTGAGAGATGCACATTTTTATTTCTCATCTAGACACAGTGTCTAGAGAAGGAAATTAGTCCAAGGTAACGGAATTGAAAAACTTGGCTAAGGAGAGCTCTATCAAGAGGGAATGGAAAAGAAATAAACAGGAAGGAATGGTGTGCCTTGTAATTAGACAGAGAGGGAAGATGGGCACTCAGTGCCTTCCTACACAAAGCAAAGGCACACAAGGCAGACAAGTACGGATCATTGTTGACTAAAAGAATCTTGAGTTCAAGTCCTTTATAGAATTCTTCCAGATACTGGGCCGGCTGAGTGGCTCAGTTGGTTAAGAGCTCGCTCAAGAGTTTGAGCTCTGAGCAACAGCGGTTCGAGTCAGCTCGAGCTGAGCAGTCGCTGAGCTGCCAACAGGTGGCAGGATGGCTCAGATAAAAAAAAAAAAAAAAAGAGAATTCTTCCAGAAAGTAAAGTTGTGAGATGGTCTACTGCATGATTCTTCAAAGAAACCCCTTTTTAAAAATACCTCCACCCAAGGAACAGAGATAGAAGGGGAATTTACATGTCACTGGATGTCCTTTTGTCCTTTGAACTTGATACCATGTATTACCTATGTGTTAACAGCTCAAAATTTTTCAATTAAAAAAAATAAAAATATGAAATTAAAGGAAATTAAATTTAATGTTTCCTAAAGAAAAACAATACTTTGTATGTAGTTTTTCAAAGATTTTTATTTGAATAAAATATTATCAAGTTCAAACCACGCCATAGAACACTTTCTTCCTTGACTGTGCACCAAAAGTTGGAAATAGCACTTATTTGTTAGCAGACGGTAAATGTGTGTAAGATTTTGTTTCAATGAAATAACTCATCTGTCTTTCTGTGAGTTTTTTCACAGAGCTTTCTGAAGAAATGGCTAAGTCACCACCCCCAAACCAAGCAGCTGAAGAGGTTGAATCCTAAACTTACCTTTAAGCAATGTTGTAAATGTGGGAGGTTTATAACCCCAGAAAACTGGCTCGTTTATCAGAAAAGTGAATAAAAACAAACAAAAATCACCCACCTGTGAAACAAACTCTTCTACAAGGTGCTGGCGGTGGAAGCTGGAAGGATCCTGTAGTTCCTCTCTGTATTGCTCCCCCAAAAGGTGGATACTGAATTCTGCAATCTGCTCAGTGGCTGGTTTTGTGGATTCTTCTATCGCATTCTCAATTTCATTGCTAAGCTGTATTTTTAGAGAAAGGACAATAAATGTCAATATTTACTCATTCAGTCAACAAATATATATATATATATATGTATGTATATATATATTTTAAGAAATATATATTACCTACTATATGCCAGATACTATGCCATATAGGCAACTTCTGATGATGACTTTTTTATACAGTATTTGACTTTGGAACTAATTGGGTAAATTTTAAGACATCAGTTAATATTAAAATTACTTCACATTTGTACATTCTTTTAAACAAACACACAACAACCAATTCAAGTAAAAACTGGTAATTTTCACTCAACTGATAGTGGAGTTCTCAGTAACAACAATAAAAGTTAGAAAATAGTGAAATAAAACCTTGACCCCCCAAAAAAAAACCCAAACAACAAGCCCTCAATCCAGAATTTAACACAGATTTAAATTTTTCTAGATTACGGGGATAATAAAGATATTTTCAGGTGATCAAAAACTGAGATTGAACCAGTGAGAGACTCTCACTAAAGTAGTATCAGACGCATATACTCATATTTCGGAATGAAAGTTTGCCTCAAGTAGAGGTCTAAATTGCAAAAAAGTATTTTAAGAAAATAAAATTATAAACAACTGGGTAAATGTAAAACAAACTTCAACTGTATAAAACAAATATAATACAGTCTAATTTGTGGGATTTGAAAGAGAAAAACAATACTGAAAAATAGACTATAAAAGTAGGGTGATCATTTGTAGGGTGATCAAAAGTAGGGTGATCAAAAGTAGGGTGATCAAAAGTAGGGTGATGAATTACAGTGCTCTAATGTTCTGTCATTATCTTATTGCTCAGAATAGGATAAAGATTTTGAAACACTTAAATTTTGCTAGATTAAACATACGTAACATATAATGTAACTACTAACAAAATAAAGTATATAATCTTAAAGGAAAAATATATTAAGAGAAAATCAAACTGTAAAACAGTAACTTGGGGTTTATTTTGAACTAATTCTTAATTTTGAACTAGGTAACCTCATTCTTGTCAGGTATCTCCATAGTGTTTTGTTCTATAAATCGGCTTCAAATCTAATTTCTGTTTTCAGTATTAATGTTCTAATTGATTATACACAATTCCTTCATTTCTATTCTAGTGAGTTCTATCTCATTCTATAAATGTTTCCAGACCTAAATCACAATTATTTTGCCTCAAACTCAGGACTACAGTATCACTTTTATTCATTCATTTATTCACAAATATTGTATTTATCAAATGACTATATTTTCTAGCACCATCTACTTGGGACATAGTTGTACTGAAGGTAAAAGTATTGATTGGGACATCCACTCAGGGATCCCAAGCTACCACCACCTTGTTCTCTTATAGGGAGGGTGATGGGGCAGAGTGGGGTGACATTCTGATTTCATATAAGTTAAAATGCCCAAGTTTGGAAACAAAAAGTGCAAGGTTACTAAATTGTACTTTTCTAGTGAATATGTTCAGTCAGAGTTTTTATTATGTATTAAGTAATCTAGGATTTATAAACCCCAAAATTAAAAAAAAACATATTAAGGAGGCCGGCTGAGTGGCTCAGTTGGTTAACAGCTCACTCAAGAGTGTAAGAGCTGAGCAACAGGGTCACCGGTTCAATTCCTGGCCTGAGCTGAGCTGCCGCTGAGCTGCCACCAGGTGGCAGGATGGCTCAGCTAAAAAAAAGAAAATAAAAAGAGAAACATATTTAACTTTTTTTTTTAATCTGATTGTGCTAGACTAGAGAGTCAACTTAATGTTGTATGGTGGACAAGTTACTATTAATGATGTATTTGAAAAGCATGGGGCTTCTTGATTTTTAAACTATAACAATAGATATACCATATGACCCAGCAATTCCACTTGTGGGTTTTCATCCAAAGAAAACAAAAACACTAATTTGAAAAGATATATGCACCCTTATGTTCATTACAGCATTATTTACAATAGCCAAGATATGGAAGCAAACTAGGTGTCTATTGCTAGATGAATGAATATATAATATGTGATATGTGTATATATATATTATATATATCACATATTATTTACATATCATATATTATATATATATATATCACATATATATGAATGACTATTATGCAGCAATAAAGAATAAAATCTTGCCATTTGTAACAACATGAATGGACCTAGAGGGTATTATGACAAGTGAAATAAGTCAGGCAGAGAAGAAAAATACTATATGGTTTCACTTATACGTGGAATCTAAAAACAAAACAAAACAAACAAACAAATAAAACAAAAACAGACTTGCAGAAACAAAGACCAGAGGGTTGGTTACCAGAAGGGAGGGGGAAAGGGGATGGGTGAAAAAAGGAAGGGGAATATAGTCAACAATGTCATTATATTTACAAGGTGACTGATTGCGAGAATTAGTGGGGTGATCACATTGTAAGGTATAAAAATGTTGAATCACTATATTGTACACCTAAAACTAATATAAGATTGTATATAACCATCCTTAAATAAATTTTTTAAAAATCTATATCCTTTCCCTCTGAAGAAGAGAAAGCTAAGACCTGATCCATTTAAATACAAGAACATAGGCAAAAATCCCCATTGTAAATTATGTCATGTAGCCCACAAGAGACAGTGGGCCTGCTCTAATGACAGTTCACCAAGCCTTGAGTCATTTCATTTATAATTTGAAGCCCTCACTCAGATTCTTTTTAATGTACTAGTTTTATAGTCCACAACACTTCCATAAATGGATCCACAGGAAGTCCTGTATAGTCTGGCAATGGAATATAAATCAACTTAACCCCTATTATCCATGTTCGAAACTAAATAACAGAATAGAGCATCACTCACACTCTCCTCTGGCCTATTCAAGCTGCTGTCTGAGGTATCTTCATAGGAACCCACCCCTGGATATGGAACACTGAGAACAGCACCTAAACAGAAAAAGAAAAACATATCTATGAACTCAGCCCCTGACTAGTCAGAATTCATATCAGGAAATAAGGAATTGATGTCAAAAACATTCTTATAAGTCATTTGCTTTTTTATTCTGGAAATTCTGTGCATTCTAATTGCAAGACACATTTGCACAGAGTCTTCCTAGGACAAGAAATAATAACGACTCATCCACTCATTCAACAAGCATTTACTGAGCTCCTACTATATGCCAGGATCTATGCAAGATGCTAGGGATTCAGAAGTTCCTATCCTTAAGGAGCTATCTAATAAAGGAGACAGATACCGAAAGAAGTAACACTACCAGAAAGAGGAAGTGGGTGAAAGTTGGAGACTGGCCACAAATTGATAATTTTTGAAGCTGGACTTCATTGTGCTATTCTAATTTTTGTATGAGTTTAAAATTTCCAATAAAGAGAAGTTTATTAAAGAAAAATTAAAAATAAAGAAAGCAACTACCAATTTACAGGGAATATAGAGGTCAAAGAAACATGTTAAAGTACACCACCGCAGAATGCAATCAGATACTCTACAAGACAAATGACAAATGGTGAGGCTAGAAAGGTACTGCCTGTTGACATAAGCAGTGGTTACAGAGTGTTTGCCTTAAAATAATTCTTTAGGTCGTATATTTGTTTTAAGCAGTTTTCTGATTTGCATCATACACAATAATTAAAGATTTTTAAGTACCCACAACATAACGCCATGAAATAAATGAAAAAAGGATTACTTTTTCTTGAGAACCACATATATGAAGAGAGAAACACAATATTTTTTTTTAAATGTGAGCTAAGAAAAAATGTGTTTGCTTGCAAGACTGTGTTAAACCACAAATCATTTAAAAGGAAAAGTAAGTAAAGGCACAAAAGCATACCTCCTAATGTTGAGGTATCACCTCCTAATGTTGAGGTATCCACGACAGGAACCGTGGATGACAATTCAGGGCTAGGAAAAAAAAAATGTTTGGAGTTAATAAAATGATAGAAAAGTGAGAATTTGTTTTTTCCAAAAAGGAATTCACTAGATCTTCAAACAAGTATTCCCAAACCAAAGAACTGAGTAGCAAAGTTTAAAAAAATAGCATTCATAATTCATTTATTTTACATTTATTGATTCCAACTCAACTAGAATCATCCTATATAAAGTACTCCCCCACTTTCTATAACATCACCCCATTTAATTTCTTCTCAGTTCTTATCACTATGTGACAGTATTTTGTTCATATATTTATCTATTCCTTTATCTCAGTCTCCAACCCCTTAATCCTCTAGAATGGCATTGTCTAATATGGTAGTCACTGGACATATTTGGCAATTTAAATTAACTAAAATTAAATAAAGTTTAAAATTCAGTCCCTCATTCACAGACACACTAATCACATGTGTCTAATGGATACTTTATTGGACAGCACAGTAAAGGAAATTTCCATCATCACAGAAAGTTCTATTGACCAGATTGCCTTAAGAATCTAAACTCCATGAGATTAGGGAATTTGCCGGCCATATTTTTTTTTAATTGGGGGGAGGGGAACAGTGTAGAGGAATTGGGGAGGGGGACCAGCCAAGTTCTTGTTCTTTAATCTTAGTTGTAGAAGGCGCCAGTCGCCATCTGGCTGCCCCTTGGCAGCTCATGGCCTGTAAGTTCAAGGTGCTATGTTACAATCCTGGTTGCAGGTTGGCGGGTGGGTTCAGCCATCATCCCATGCGAGAGTCAAATCAGCAACCTTGTTAAGAATGC